AGAGAATGTGCTCGGATCTGGCTTTCGTTGGGGGTTTCTCGGCTCCTTGGCTGGGGCCCCAAACATTAAGATTGTCTGGCTGGAGACACTGCGGGATATGGCATCGAACGGTTATCAGTGGTCTGAATGCACCCTTTCCTTTGTGTAATCCCAAAAATAAACAAAACGGAAAAAAAACTCAAAATGGCGTTCAGTAAATAAACAAAAAAATTGTTACTCGCCGATGTTGACTGTTTTGTTATCCCCGTTTCTTTACCTGTATTATTTCATTCACCCATGGTTATTTTTGGCGCCGTATCTGTAAAGATTGGTGTTATACATATCCGTGAACAGTAAGCCGGATTCCGGCCTGGCCTTTGATGTATTGATCACATTTTTACGCTAAGGCAGGTCCTTGAGCTGCGTCACACGCACTGCCGACCAACGATAGCGGTGTTTCTTGACCTGAAAAAAGCCTTCGACTCAGTTGACCGCGAAGCTCAATTGGGGTCTCTTCTTCGAAAAGGAATGCCCCAGAATTACGTTAAATCACTCAGATCACTGTACTCACAGACCACCTTACACATTACCAATAACCTTGTATACATTACTTGTTTGGCAGCGATCAGTGAGTTCGCCTCGCTGTTCGATGGTGATGATGAGCGGTTGATACAACATCTCTGTTAGACACGCCTGACCTCCGGGTAACTCCATATCGCTAATCGTTTAACTGCTGTTATTTGAGGTAAAAGCGTCACTGACTAACGACTGACTGACTATTATTGAGTCGATGATAAAAGTTTCTCTGCTCGTGGAACAAACCCGTTAGAACATTAGAAAGTAATTTTTAAAGATTATCCTTCACCTGTATTGCCTAGTGTTTCCAGTACGGTCAGTGCGAACTGCCATTTATCTGTCTACTTGTTGTTATTAGCGAAACGTGCGTTTGTATTCCGGATATTGTGCGAGTACCGAAGCAAGTTAACTTTGACAGAGAGTGTTTGAAACTAAAGTGAATTCACATGGACTGGATGTATGTGATACCGGGCATGTGTGCTCGCTTTCACCGAGACCACGATGTCGGTCAGTTTGTGCATCTGTCAATTAGGAACACCTGGGAGCAATTAGTTATCAGCTAGTTGAGAAGGGCATCGCATGCAGGCTCACGTTTTTTCATAACTCTGGGGTAATCTGAAATACCGCAGGGAAACCTTTCTGGGAGGTTGGCATGCGCGAAGTTAAAATGTGAGTAGTAATCCGCACCGACACGGGCACCAATGACCACAGTGACATTGATGCACACACACAAATATGTTTAAAGTTACTAACTCAAATATCTTCCTTCTAGGTGTATGCCGCTATCTTTCTGCTCGGGATGAGTTGNAACATCGGCTGCCTGAGAACGGTAATCAAGTGCGGAATCCACGCAGAATGAATTTCACCCCTTGTCCCAAAGGATCAGATTCCGAACCATTCAACTTCCAAGTTGACAGTGCAAAAGCGAATCGTGGCATGGCCCTAAATCCGCTGTAGGGAACCCAAGTGGGGCAGTGAGGTGTGACATCGTCTTGCAAGTTCGACCAGTTAATGACCTCAAACATGACTGACTGTACACAGTCGCATTCGTTGTAAGAGCTGCCGAAGTTCCAAATGGTGGTATCGCTATTGAACTCATATGACTTTCTAGCATCTCAATAATTAGTGACCTCTATTGGATTCTAGATCCGCATTGGCTAATCAGTAACCCGACAAACGCCAAGATATGGTCTGCAATGTTATCTTTTTCGTGAGATCTCAAATTTCTTTCGTTTGTCTAGGTGTCACCCAAAAATTGTATATTATCCTAGTTATTTGTGCGGCTGTACAGGACTTTCTTCCTCCCCCCCCCCCCT